AAAAAAGCCCCACCCGAAAAATGGCATCGTGAAATTCTCCACCAAAATAATACGGGATAACGTGATTGCTGCTGCGCGGGTATTAAAATGTGTCAAATCAGATCAACTACTGATATCAGGTACCTCGCGAAATATTTACATCAATGAACATCTGACACCCAAAAATAATAAATTATTTCTACTCAGTCATGAAGTGGCCAGAAAAAACGATTACAAATTTGTCTGGATTAAACATGGTACCATACTGGTTCGTCAAAACGACACTTCTCCCATAACTAACCCACAACCAAACCCACACGTTCATAATTCTACTCGTATATACATAATAAAAGTTTTTGTGATCTCATTGTATGATGGCAATAACAATTTACCTAAAAGTATTTGGCTATATCGCATATTAAATCATAAAAATCATATTCAGAAAACTGTTAAACATAATTTTTCTTATCACATTTATCATGCCACAATATGCTCTGTGTTCTTAATATTTTATTTATATCTCACAACATTTTCTATCCGCATATTGCACCAAACGGTTTTACTTGTTAAAACTAATACAATAAATCAAAATTCAATTCTAATATGTTAACTGTATATTACCAAAATTGTCGAGGATTACGTACTAAACTGCATACTCTTTATACGAATATTATCTCATACATACGACATAATTGTATTAACGGAAACTTGGTTACACGCGGATATCAGCGACAATGAATTTATAGACGATAGGTATCATAGTTTTTAGAAGACGGCGAAGGCATACTGATAGCGGTGCACCGTTCGGTTTGTGCTGTAGCTCGTCTTGAAACGCCGGCGCATGATTTTGAGCCTCTCCCGCCTCTTGTTGATTTTTTATTACTAGAGTTATGCATTGCAAACTATGTTTATATACTCTCAGCCGTCTATATCCCACCTAATCAAAATTTTGATACATATAATAGTTTTTTTTTAATTTATTACAAAACCAATTATCTGGATCAACTGCAAGTTTTATATTAATTGCTGATTTTAATCTGCCGAATCTTGGCTGGAATAATACCGGCCAGGCCCTTGTACCTATAATAGATTTGAACTTGAATCCCTCATGCTGGTGCCTAATTAATTTTATATCACTAATAAACGGTCATCAGATGAACTATATTCTTAATAAAAATAACAGAATCCTAGACTTAGCTATAACAAATACAACTAAGTGCAGCCTATCATCAGTGACGCCACCGTTGGTACCTCCCGATGCTCTTCACCCCCCTTTTGAAGTTTTCATTACTTTATCAGAATCACAAAAATACCTAGAACTTAATATAACATTTCGACAATGCTATAGATTGGCTAACTATGATAAAATAAAAGATGAAATTATAAAAATCGATTGGGAAAATCTTTTTTTGGACAAAGATGCCGAAGATGCTGTTGCGTGCTTTTATGAGACAATTTACAAAATTATTAAAAAAACATGTGCCAATCAAAGAAGTCAAACCTAAACGTTTCCCTTGTTGGTTTAGGTCTGAATTAATTTAGATATACAATAAAAAAAACCCGAGCTTGGACAAAAATGAAAAAATATCGAAGTGAATCGAATTACAATATCTTTTCCATATACAGAAGTAAATTTCAAAAAGTTTCAGAGCGTTGCTATAATAACTATATTAGTAAAGTAGAGAGTAGTATTAGGGATAACAGTAAATTCTTTTTGACTTATTTGAAAAATCGTGAAAAGATCTCTGACATACCGAGTACTGTTAATTTTAAAGATAGGGTGGCTACAGGTCCCAACGAAGTTTGCTCAATATTCTCTAGCTTTTTTTCATTCGGTTTTTGAGCCAACTATGGTCACTGATGACTTTGATATTCAAGATATCATTGTTGACGATACTAAAACACCTGATATTCTTATAAACGAGATCAAAGTCACAAACTTGAAGTCACTAACCAATTAAAGATGTTAGATGTAACGAAGGGTGCCGGGGTGGACAATGTCCATGCTCTGTTTCTAAAAGCAACTGCTGAGGTTATTGATGAACTTGTATAATAAATGTTTGCAAGGTGGAATTTTTCCCAAAGTCTGGAAAACTGCTAGAATAGTGCCCGTACACAAAGGAGGGTCTAAGAAAGAAGTTGAAAATTAGAGACCCATCTCCATACTACCTACGTTAGCGAAGATTTTTGAAAGATTAGTACATAACGCCGTTTATCCGCTTTTACGTAACGTTATATTGCCACAGCAGCATGGCTTTGTTAAGAATCGATCCACTGTGACTAATTTAATTATTTACTCGACCTTCCTATTTGAAGCTCTCGATGCACGTAAGCAAGTTGACTGTGTGTACACAGATTTTCGCAAGGCATTTGACCGGGTCGACCATAAGATGCTACTAGAAAAAATTGCCTATAATGGAATAAGAGGTAATCTATGGCGGTGGTTTAAGTCTTACATTTCAAACATAATGCAAAAAGTGGTTATTAGGGGTCACGAGTCGGAATGTGTACCGATTACTTCGGAAGTGCCACAAGTATCTATTATTAGTCCTTTTCTATTTAAAATATTTATAAATGACATTAATATGTGCTTCCGTTCAAGTAGGTTCCTTTTATATGCTCATGAATTAAAGGTATACAAAACTATCAACAACACTAATGACCATTTAGAATTCCAGGATGATTTAAACCGTTTCACATCGTACTGTAATAGAAATAAGTTAGAACTCAGTCTTAATAAATGTAAATCTATAACTTTTACAAAAAAGAAAAAAAACCAGCTCTTGCATCTATTATTTATGTGGTACCCCCTTATCTCAAGCAGTAGCAATCAGGGATCTTGGAGTAACTTTAGACACTAAACTACATCTAAGTATACACATTGAAAATATTATTAACAAAGCTTATAAGATGTATGGTTTCGTCATTCGATCTGGTAATATGTTTAAAAATCCCTTGACTTACTTACATCTTTATAAATCCTTAATAAGATGCCACCATATCTCATATCACATAACCATATCTGTTAACAAACAACGTCGCCAACAACAGATGATTATCAAATGTTTATTAAGTCAGCAACTAAGGAGGGGCTGCCATTGGGCGGCTAGCGCTGGAGTGGCCGCGGGTGTGCATGAAAGCGTTTCCGTGGTCCTGTCAATTTGCGGCGAAGGTAGAACACTATGGGGCTTTAGTAAGTGCGAGTCTAGAGATTCTCTCTCGAGTCTCAAGATTTAATTTGTGCTTTAACTTCGTAGTGGCTCTACTTTATTTATTTATTTCTTATTTACAAATTCTGGCCACCGTTTACATTCACGATTTTTGACAGCTTCCTCTTGCGCAACATCCACCGACAAAGGCAATTAAGTGTCGATATTTCAAGCCGCCTAGAGTACGTGGCACTGCCGAAACTGGAAAGCTTAGGAGGATAAACTTAGGAATGAGAATATCCGCAGTAGAACCAGAGTGACGACATCGCCCAACGGATTAGTAAGCTGAAGTGGCTATTGACCAGCCATATAGCTTGAAGAACCGATAACCGATGGGAAAAAAGGTTTTCGAGTGGCAGAATCGTACCGGCAGGTGAAGTGTGGGAAGTTCCCCCACTAGATGGAGTGAAAACCTGGTAAGACATACAGGAAGTTGATGGGTGCTGGTGGCTCAGGACCGTGCTTTGTGGCATTGCTTGTGGGGATGACAAAATAGAGCATTATATTAATGATACATAAATAGAATAGACGTTATGGTTAGAGTCCATCTATCCATAGAGTTCATTCTATTTATTTAGGTATAGGTAGGGTATAAAATTTTTATCGATATATTTTGTCGCACTGTCTTACTCGTATTCTTATTATTAGTTCAGCGGACGTGCACTTCTGCTGTCAGCGCCAAAATGGCGCAAATCAAATTGCCTCATCACGTCACTGTGTATAGCCAGTCTAGCGTACTTGTATATATAGAGGCCAGTGAAACGTGGCCTTACGGCTTACGGTATAAAAATTAGTTTCCTGGTGGTTTAAAGAGCACATTCGTTCAGTAATATGTGCCTATATTACGAATTTGTATTTCAAAAGATAAATTAAAAAGAACCCACATTGCAATTGTTATTCCACGTCTAAATTACAGAACACATTATTGCCACACAGAAACCAATTTTTTTTAAATGTAAATCAAAAATTTCTTGTTTTCTTTTCACACCAACTTCTAGTTCGGCTGGCCACACCTTCGGTTGCCTTTTTTTCTTACACTATAGTTAGTAGATACATTGAAAAATTAAGCGATAAAAATACTCCTAAAAGGGGAGAGTAGATTTTTAAGTGCACACTCGATTCCAAATTCCGGGTGGCGGAGCCAGATAAACGCATTTGTGAAAGTTGATATGTAAATTGCAATATGTGAGGGTCAAGTTCAGAAATTATGCAATGTTTTTTATCTATAGTTTCGAATATTTTATACACTTTTCAAGATTTTGAGGAATTAATTAAGAAATAAAATGTGAAATTTAATAAAGGTTAAGACTTTATTCACAATTTTTATTACACATACAATATAAATTTCTTTAAGTGTACATAAACATGGATGAGAACAGATTTCAGTTATCTTGAGTTGATCCATCAAAATGACAAAATATACTTAACTAATACACATGTATTAATGTTACTTATCCATTACTTGTTATGTAATAATTATAAGATCATCCAAATAGGAAGATTTACTAGGAAGTAAATCTTCCTATTTGGATGATCATGATTTACATAATACATATTTCAAAATAAAGACGAACTATTTCAGACTTACATTTAATGATAATAAAACAATGAAGTTATCGGTCACACTATAATTAACAATAAGTGTTTTTTAATGCTAAAAAATATTGTTTACAATTACTGATAAGAATTTTAAACAAAAAGTTGTCAAATGTTTTAGCTGTGGAATAAGTTGAAAATCCTATATAAATCAGTCACAAGCATCGAAAAACTTATAAATACATCTAATTCTAAAATTCTAATATAACGTTAATTTTAATATGGTCTCTGCCTGTCTCGGCCCCTGTAACAAAATAAAAAAAATTAAATTACTTTTACATGTATTAGCAGTGTAAAACATTTCAATTTGTCTTGGGTGTTCTAAAAGATAAATAAAGAAATGCTAATCAAGTAGCAATATCTGACAAAAAATAATATAATGACATAGATTGACCACAAAAACAAACCAAAAATATTTAGGACATGAGCGAATACTTTCAATAATGAAACATTATTATGCTAAGCATGTACATTGTTTCAAATTATTTTGTTTAAACATGGAATTTAAAAAATTCGGTTTTTATTTTTACTACTTTCCATTGTGACAACCCTAGCAATTTAATTGTTAATGTTGGCTCCAACAACATCAAAGGAGATGACTTACTGTGTGACCTTCTTAGGCTGTGTTAAAAGTAAGATTCTAAAACATGTTTAATTTGTTCTTTTGATATTATCTTTTTGTTTAAAAATTTGCATTTTTAATTTTTACATAAAAACAAAATTACAACATTAAAATACTTCATCAAACTAGTACTAGGTTTTCATTGATTCTATTTAACATAACATCACATTTATATAATTACTTGTCTATGCAGCTGCTAAGTCATACAAATCAGACAAAACACCAGTGATTTGCATTTATGCACAAATAATTTTTTTAGTCCATAAACAATCCAACAACGAATGTAAGTCTGATAGACATATAATAGAAATCTTCCTTGTTTTTAATCAGCTCATAACAGTTTAGTTCCGGCTATGGGCCCCTCCCATCGGAAGAACTTTAGACAATCATCACGCTTAATAAACGGATTGGTGATTACAGTAAAACCAGAAAACTTGCAACTTTGACACTCCAGCATCGTTATGATTTTAAACTGGAGAAAATGGAAGAGAAAGTATACAGTCATTGTAAAAACAGAATGGTAAACTATCTTCTAAGAAATATACCGAACGCCGCTAATGTGTGTGTGCCTGGCACGTGTCAGTACGGACTCGTACGCACGTGCCACAGCACGCACACAACACTTGCTGATTCGGAAAAGTTTGGCCGAGTCGGGGCCTCCACCACGGCCACCGCCACAATCACCTTTGTTTGAGGTTTTGTTGAATTTAATAAAATTTTGCTAGCAGTCTTTTTTCGTTATATTTTTTCTTTTTGTAAAATAAATTAATATATGGATCTGTTTAAGTAAATTAGCTTTTATTAATAGGTTATATTACTATATCTATACATAAGTACATACCACATACATACATTAATTATCATATCACATCACATTAAACATTAAATCTGAGTTGACACGACACCATATGCTCAGTGTTAATTACATATTTTAGTTACTTGGCATTTGTTGTAATGTAAAGCTGGAGTTTTTTTTTGACAAACATTGATTCTTTGAGGGGAAACTAAAGAAATGATTAACAAATATGATGCATAGGTGGTACGTATCAATATGTATTATGTTTGTAAATATTATAACTACTTATAAAGCTAAACGAGACTTAGCTGTTAAACAAAAAGACAGTGACAACACTGGAACAGTAGGCATTTAAGTCTAGCGCGGCGCGGGAGTGATCCTACTATTCTGTTTTATTGTGATATACAGTGTAGTAAACGACTGCAACCTAATGGCAAGGTGCGGATAGCGAACTCTAAGTTGTGGGTTTAAATCCGCCATTCGACTACTGTTATGAATCACTCCCACACAAGCATTTTTAATTTTTAAGCTTACCAGTAGTAGTTAAAGGGAATTTTAGTAAGGTTCATTATGATATTAACCAAGCTAATATACTATTATCATATACATATTATATTATAGCTACTATTTAAAAAAAAAGTGTTTCCTATTATTTTGGTCTCCTCTTTGTGCGGTACTTTAAAGATGGTTAATATAAATTTTAACTGTTAAAATAGACAGTTTATTATCATATTTAATTCAATTTATAACTGTCGACGATTTCAGCGAACCAATTTATATTAAATTATTCGTGTTTATGCCATCTAGTGCCTATCTTACGTACCACTTTAAGAGACCAATTTTTGTTCGATAATATGACTACCTATAGAAAGAAGTAGATGGCACTATTACAAAGAAATTTTACTTGAAAAAAAATCTTTTGACTTATTAAACTAATATTTAGTCTAGAAATAAGGATTGCAACATTTATTGGCTATATGCTATATAATTGTTATATGCTAGCTTTTATCTTATATTTTATGCCAAACTTATGGCTGAAAATTATTTTACTAAATAAATCATTTGTATGCTTGTTTTATATTTAATTTCGTTGAAGGTTTCTTTTCTATCGCGTGTGAAATACACATGTTTTTTTTAATGTAAAGCCAGCGGCACCCCTTTTGCCATCTGTCTGTGTCCTCCTCTAGCAGGGTTTACCAACCAACATGTGGGTAACCCCCATGGTTGGCAAATCCTATAGCTTGTCTTGGTATTTTTATATCTAACATAGAGACTGTAAGCATGAACATGAATAAATAATTATTCAAAGTTATATACATTTCTTTACATATTTTTTTAAACCCTACATCATAATAAGAAATAAATAAATCGTAACAAAACTACATTCCTCCCCTCCCTTGCTCGTTAGTTTATTAAATTAAAGATTTTTTTAGAATATAGCTTAAATAGACGTTTTATGAAAAAAGTTATACCCTCCATCTCCTCTCATGGCGCCTCCGCCGGCTCCGCCGCTGCGGTCTCCGCCGCCGCCGTAGCGCCTGTCCCCGCGGTCTCCACCGCGGTCGCCGCGCCCGGCCCAGCCACCGCCGCCGCCGCCGCCACCGCGACCGCCGCCACCCCCGCGCCCTCCGCGGCCCGGCCCTCCCCCGCGCTCTCCGCCGGACGGCGCGCCACCACCTCCGCCGGGTTTCTCTTCGTTACATCTGTTACATGATTTCCTCCACGAGAAGTTTGTATTTCCGCAGCTAGGATTCGGACACCGCCAGTCTCCCTCGCGGTTACCGGACGGCGGGCCACCACCGCCGCCGCCGCCGCCACCTCGACCTCCTCCGCCACCACTACGTCCACCACCGCCGCCGCCACCTCCACCACCGCGGCCACCGCGGAATCCACCACCGCCTCCTCCTTTGCCTCCGCCCCATGTATTCTGTCTTTGAGCTAAAGACACTTTAATTGTCACTCCGTTAAATTCTTTTCCATCAAACCACTGAATAGCAGATGAGGCAGCGTTGCTATCTTCGTAGGTGACTGTGGCTTCCCCTTTAGGCTGTCCGGTAGCTTTGTCCTTATACATCCAAACTTTAGGTCTCTGCGTTTTTTTATCAGTCTAAAATTAAAGAAGTAACGACAAATTAATATTACATGTACCATGCAAGCTAAAAATACACTAACCCTTCAACAGTCAAAAACGCCGGATTGCGCACACCGGACAGTCTAAACAGCCGCTGCGGCTGTCTATTAATTCACTGTGTTGCCGTTTTAGTAACCTGTCCATATATTTATGGAATGGTTTGTTGATAGACAAAGCAAGATAACAAATAATTTTTAATCTGTAATTCGTTGACGAATTTGAAGATTGGTCAGTCGAAAATCGTCAATCAAATCGTGCCAATTCAGTGCTTGTTATTTTATATCGTATTTAGTGTTTTCTTGTTTATTATTGCAGAAACATCAGAGTATCGAGAAATATAAATTATCTTATAGTTGCACGTAGTTTTGAGTTATTAGTTATTAATTGAGTACTCTCATATTTAAATTATTTTGTATTTTTAATATTAAATAATATATATATATATATATATATATATATATATATATATATTTTATATATTTTTTGTAATAATTATTTCATATTTAAACTTAGGTAAGATAAACGTTTTTGTTAGTTTTTTTGTATAAACCACTTCATTATTCCCATAAGATACAAGAAAACACGAATTAAGTAAAATATGAAACTTTTTTTGGCCCGGGCAGTATTAGATAGCCACAATGGCGTTTACTGTTGAAGGGATAAAACCATCTTTATTTATACCTTAATAATACCAATGGCTCCAAAATGTTGGCATAATTCATCTTCAGTGGTAGATGGGTTCATGCCTTGAATAAAAACTGTATCTTCTTGAGTGATCATGTCACTTCCACCCCGATCTCCACCACCATAGCCACCGCCACCGCCGCCGCCGCCGCCTCCTATATACATTTAACTGTATAATAATAGAATAAAAAAATATACAATTCACAACATTTTATCCTATTTAGTTTTTTAATAATTTATCAACTTCAAATGAAAGATCGATCTTTTCATTATCATAGTTGAATAAAACAATATTATTCCGTACATCTTGAACCAATAGTAGTTTACCCATAATGCTTTTTTCAGTGCTAGTTGCAGTATACCTTTTCATATTATAGTTTGTACTTTATAACACTTTTCCTCGCCCTTTGTAACGACAATATATAATAACATTTAATATTTGGAAATAGTATTACCCGTCATTTTAAAATCTTAACATAATTTCTAACAGAAAAATGATTCTTGAAACCTTGAATGTTATAAATTCAAAATTAAATAAATATAACCATTACAAATTTGTAGATACAGCCGTTTAAGTTAGCTTAGTGATAATACTCAACATTTAACCCCTCCTCAAGCTATTTAAATTATGTAAAACGCAACCATCAACAAAAAGTTTCAAATTGTCTTCTAAAAATAACTATTGAAATAGGGCTGCCAAATAAATATACAGTGTCTCTGGAACATTTGAGTCATAAATGAGAGATACAAATAAGGTAATTTCCAGAAATATAAACTTAAAAAATATAACTTTTTTACTGTAGAAATTGACTCAATACCAGTTACTCTGTATAAAAGTGTTCTAATTAAACATTTTTGTAAAAGTGAAAACTGCTGACAAGTTGATTCATCATTAGTTATGTGATATGTCATATTTTTGATCTCGAAAACGAGTGATGAAATCACTAAAAAATCCTGCGTAATCTTGAAATAAAAACCAAATAACACAATATTAATCATTGACAAAGAAGACACCTAATACAATAAAATTATGAAGCTAAGCAAATACACGGCTTATTTACCCCAGTCGTTAAAGTGTAAAACCAGCAAAGATTTAGCAGATTGATGGAAAACTTGGGGATAAATTAAGATATTTTAATACTAAACTATGTTTCTCCCACCCACAATTCACTTTTCCACACTTTTCACTCATATTTTTCTTTTTTCCATTAGACTAAGATATTTCATGTTTAATTCACACAATTTTATCACAGACAAGACAACTTGACATAAACCATTTGTTTAAATTTAGCTGTTTAAAATGATCTTCTTCCATTTATTCATGAACAGCCATGCACAACACTAACTGTACTTGAAATTTAACAATACTTTTAAAAACTAAAAATTGTCAACAGCCAAGTAATACAATAAATTAACAAAGTATGTAATGAATGTAGTTTGGCAGCCCTTCATAAGTAACATATTAAAAATATGACAACAGCAGCACTCGCTTATCACGAGGAGCTTTACCTTTATTATAACCACCCCCCCTGCCGCCGCCACTAAAACAATAAGAACACCGTTTAGTTTACACTGGGCAGGCTGGGGGCACTCTGAACGGCGCACGAAGATTGTATGACACCTAGGTACTGTTTAATCAGTAACCTGAGACCAGTGTTGGATCCTTTTCTTTACCATAATGTTTAACCTTGACACCTTGAAAATCTTAGAACTGTTGGAGACAATAATGTTGCACACTATGTAGTCACATGCACATTTAGTACAAAACAATGATATACCACATAAAGACATTTAAAATAATAAAGATATATAACTAAAACATTTCTTTTATTTAGAAGAGAAATTACTTTGGTAACGTAACTAGCAGTAAATCTTACAAGACCATAATTACGTATTCAGTTAATGGGAAGACAAAGCATTATAGCAATTAATTAGTAGTGGATACGGTACCTAAAATAATGTTTTGAAAGGTATTTTTCTTTGGGTAAACTGAGTATTATAATTTGGTTTATCAAAATCCTATTTTTGATTTGTGATAGAGGAAATAATATATTATGTCATTTATAACCATTTCAAACATACTTCAGACTTTGGAATATTTTAGAGCACCAGTTATTGATTGATAATTTTTATTGATCAGCTTTTTGTAACAATTGCAATGCAAATTTAGTTTAATCTACTTCCTTAATTACCAGATAAGTTGCTTTATTTTAAATGTAATTTTATCATAATTAGAAATAACACATATTGGTTGTATACTTTCGTTTTATAGTGAGATCTACTAGAGGAGCAACACCATTTGCAAAAATAATGTAATTCACAAATGTGATCTAAGCAATTTCTTCAAGAATGTGACCAAAGCATCGCCTTCAACATTTTGTCGAAGTTGGACAATTTAGCTACTTAGAAAATTTGTTATCAGGTGATTAAAACATAAAAAGTTACAATTACCAATTTTATTGATATTAAGAAACCTGAATTTATGTTACTTTTTTAATAATCCATTGTTGCACACACTATTGATACTTATGAATTAAAATACTGTTAGTAGAAATTTGTTAGTTTAGTTGATAAGTTTTAAAAGGAATTTTTCACAACGCCACACTTTTCATACTCTCGATAGAGCAATGTTTTTCCACCAGACTGTGCAATATGGGTTAAGCAGTTTTTAATGGATTTTCTACCATCAGTTTGTTTGTTATCTGTGTATTTTTATTTACTAGAGGTAAAATTACCTACAGTTTGAATGACGATAGGTTGTAATAATCATGTCTTCAAAAAATTTATGACTATTTTATAGTTATTTAAATCTATAATAATAATTGTAATATATTTATGAAATATATACACATATAAAGAAATTACATCAATTTTATGTGTCATGTGCCAGTAGTTAATTATCATTATTAAAAAAACTGAAGCAGAAATAAACAGAACCAATGGTCTTAAGTGCATTTATTTACCATTACAGTCAATCAAAAGTCTACTGCTGATGGAAATTTGTCATAGTTCCCATAATTGACAAGTGACACATTTAATCATATCCCTATATATACAGCTTAGATCTTTCCTGGCATTGCTTTCCATCTGTTCATAGTTTCATCACAATCAGTTTAATCATTCAGAAAGTAAGTCATAAATGAAAATACAACTGTCATCTTAATTTATCCATCTCATCTGTTATCTTAATTTATCAATCTTGCTCTCCGCCCACGCGTACCACAGCTGTGACATAGTACTTATTTTGAATTGCTGGTCTAGTAGTATACTTAGAATTCTTCCGTTTTAACAGTAGATTAATTGACATGAATGTCCAACGAACCTATGGACTGTTTTACATATAATAATAAAATTCCACAACTATCACACAACGCCATCTAGTCCCAAGCTAAGCAGAGCTTGTATTATGGGTACTAGACAACTGATAAACATACTTATATATTTCTAAATACATAAATATTATAGATAAATTACACCCAGACACAGAATGATCTTGCTCATCACACAAACATTTGTCCTGGGTGGGAGTCGACCCCACGACCTCCGGCATAGCAGTCAGGGTCACTAACCACTAGACCAACAGGCCAGTCAATATGTAACGTAATTAACGCACACCCTCAGACACCCTAATTAGTATATTATGTTATAATCATAATACATACACAGAATTTTTAGTTAAACATTTTTATGCACTGATTATTTATCAAATTAGTTATACTAATTCCGGAAGAATGTTGTGGTCACAGTACAAATCCACGAACTCAGAATTTAACGTTCTTGAAATAAAGTTCATTTTTCTTTATTTTTATTGAATGACAGAATTAGTAATTACACTGCACTGGACTTTAAAAGTCTTATTGTAGTTAAGGTATTTTTTGACTGTACAGATTTATTGTGACTGTAATTTACGTAGTTATAATAATTTTTGGGATAAAAAGTTACCTATATTAAAAATGATAGGAATCGATTCAGTAAACGATTCTGAACAAACTACTTTCTCAAAGTGCGTTAATTATGTTACATGTTGTATATGTATGTATATATATGTATATATATATATATATATATATATATATATATATATATTCAAGATTTAGAAAGCCTTAATATTGTAAGTTATACATCATCCAGCCACTCAAGGGGTCATCCACTTTCTTGACATAGTGAGGCTTATCAAAAATATTATTATATAGTATTTTGGTCAGGACACAATTGTGATTTTCACTATTCAATACATTGAGCAACATAGACCACCGACAGACCAGAGGTGAGTAGCTGTGGCATTTTTCCCTAATACTGAACTGTCATTTTTTGGAAGGGAAATCTGAGCACTCAAAAAAAAATTGTCTGTCACTACGACTCACACAACACAATCACAAACAAACAATTTTACACACATACATTATAACTTTATAACAGTATCGCTCAAACAACAACAAACCACACTTATTGTATTTTTTAAGTTTAAAAAAAGTAAAGTTAGAGCCTATATACGTCCCACTGCTGGGCATAGGCCTCCCCTCATTTCTGAGAGGGTTTTAGTGTAAGGAAGTGTCCGCCGCGCTGCCCCAGTGCGTGTTGGCGAACTTCACATGTATTCGGCATTTCCTTTTTTACTTATTCGTCAGACATGCAGGTTTCCTCACGATGTTTTCCTTCCAGTGCCGGCGGGGATCGAATCCGGGTTACTCGCGTTCTATTATATTTACAGCGAGCGTTAACCTGAGCTACTACAGCTCTTAAAAAGAAGTAAATAGCAATAATGTGATTAATTTGCTTATATATGAAAGGTTAAATCTTTGTGTAAGTATGAAGTAGCAGATCTCTTTTTGCAGCAAGAAACTGTCTAGCGAGTACAAGAAACTTCAGTCTGGTGAGCAGTGTGGTTGCAACTATTTTTAATGTACGCATAGGACCGCGTGGACTTATACTTTGATGTAGGGGAATGCTGGAATGGTGATCCGTTTTGCTCCATGATTCAATAAGATCACTTTCACGGCCCTTAAATGAACACACATGTTTACAAATATTTGACAGCAGTGTTTTAGAGTATTTTAATTTATATATAATTTTAAAATTATTTGGAGAGTATTAAACAAAATATATAGTGCTATTTATGACTCCCTAAAGAGAAGATATAGATCACCTCATATAGCTTCCTATATGTGGCAGTATAACCATTTATCTTATGCCAGAGGTAAAATACTCCCAAAAATGTGAGACAGTAGCATTAAAGGGGCAAGATGTTTAGTTCTACAATCATATTTTTTTTATTTAGCTTTTATCTCAAAATACTCTAATCTTACTGACACAAAGTCGAAAGAATCTCATTGGAGAAACTAGAATAATAATTATTATTATACACAAGTAAACATTTTTCAGGCATTAAGTTTGCCCATTGTTAGTTTAGTTGTAAGGTGTTCAATAAAGAATAAATAAAAAATAAACCAAAAATTTGCACCATCCTACAGTTGTTCTTGTAACACTAATAGATACTTAAATCTCACATAACTACTTAAAAATTTGCATCAATGGTTTAACACTTGCCAATAATAAATGGCGAATGTGTTAATTAAGCTGCAATCTGATTTCCAAGTAAAATTCTCCATACAATGAGAGGTCCAGCAGTAGACTTTTATGGGTTCATAAAGAAGTACCAACCATACTTTTAAACAACTCATCAGATCATCAATTTAGTTCTTTTAACCTTTTGTTTTATACCCTCTCTAGGTAGAATTTTGTTCTTATTATGTCAGTTTTATATTAGTTAGATCATTGTACTTAATAATTTGAATATTGTTAATTTTGTTGTAAATACAATTTTCAGGGAAATCCACAATCACTTTTTTAAATAACAAACTGATAACCAGTTTATTAGAGAGGATCTCTCTCTGCTTCATATGCACCTTCAGAGCCCATTTACAACTTTTAGGTAGGTAACATTTTGATAGGATATACACTTCCAACCAATTTTTAGTGTGAATTGTAACACACCAGTTGACTTTTTCTTTAGGATTATTTTTTATTAATATACATACCTTTATAACTCTCCTCAATCAATACAACTATTCTAGCAGCAATTTTTGTGAACCGGGCATAGTAATTGTAATTAACACCAAAAATAAGCAAGTAGCAAAATTATGATAAGACTCGAAACATGTTTTATATATAGAATTGGTAGTTGGCACCACCATAAATAAGTTAGTACATTACAGCATTTGAATTTGCTACTTTTAGTATTGTTAGACTTGGCCAATTTTCCATTTAAATTAAAATTTTATTTTAAATGTTTTAAAAATATACATATATAACTTGAACCTACACAAACTATGTATTATGTTAATGCCCTATATCCTTATAGATATTGTGTTATGATAACACATATGAACTGAATTAAAATACTTATTTTAATCCAATATACTTACAATTGGTAAGCACCTAACATTTAAAAAATTATATATCATTCCAAAAATTTGAGAAACTTAGGGAGAAGACATTGCTCATCAATATGTCAACTCCCTAAATGTTGAAAAGCTTCACTTTATTTTTATCATATTTTTTGGCTAGTTTAGTATGTAAGTTTAAGAAGACTTAAACAATCTACAAATTGCATGACTACCACTTAAGTTTTTACTTAGAAACTGTCGAAAATCAACCTTTTATTCAAGAAGAATCCCTTGACAGACCCTTAATATTTGTTCCCAATACAACATGTTTCCAAAAATAAACTTCAATTACAATTAATCATCTTCAATTTTTTTAATTATCTTGATTTTAACAAAACAGATATCAACTTATCCTCACAAATGAATGAATGTTGGAAAAAGGAAGTTTTTGACATTTGTTATTACTAAATTAGTTAAGAGAGATTAAAATGATGTTGAGTCAAATAAGAAGGGGCCTTAAGGGAACAAATAAGGATATGGATATAAATTTTGGTTTATTAATATATTTAATACTTTTTAAAATATCACTTACCCATATCCACTGTCTCTATTTCCCCCATCTCTATTGTAGCTGGATCGGTCACCCCCTCCATATCCTCCCCGATCACCACCAGAGTAACCACTTCCACCTCTGTCACTTCCTCCATAATTGGAACCACCGCGGTCACTGTTGCTGTAGTTGCTTCCACCGCGGTCACCTCCACTGCTTACATTGTAGTTGCTACTACTACCACCACTGTTACGATCATAGCTTCCACTTCCATAGCTTGAATTGTAGTTTTGACCATATCCATTGCCTGACTGACCACTGCTCCCATAACTATTACCACCACCTAAAAATTGTGTAATTACATAAATAATTTATTCTAAGTGTTCTTAGGAATGGAAGGTAGTGGCAAAATGTAATTTCCCCATTTTATATTCTACCACGCAACTGACTTCTGTTTTGATATAGTAAATGTTGAATAAAACTATTATTTACGGATTTTATCGCGTTTAATTACTTTAATTTATTTTTATTATTATCCCGACGTTTCGGGTGCTTTACAGCGCCCATGGTCACGGGGGGACTGAGATGTTTGACGTCCCAATGTCATAGTTAGTCCGGCTACCTTCAGTTTTTTAATATTAATTTTTTGGTCCGATTTACGCAAAACGAGCTTATAGTATCATGAAGTCTTGCAATGGTATGCTTGGGTTTGGGTTTAATTTTGTTGATTATAGGATCCCAAGCAGATGGTAGCACCCAACCATCTTCTCTATTGAAATTTGGATGTTTTTTTAATTTCAATAGCCTCGCGTATCATCCTTGGTAGGAATCGGTGTTCTTTTGCGAGAATTTGTGGTTTATCAAATCTAATGTAATGGTGGGGACGATCTTGAACATGTTCGCAGACTGCAGACTTCCCGGAGCGTCGGTGCTTCACATCAGCTATATGTTCCTTCACGCGGGTTTTTATAGATCTCTTTGTTTGACCTATGTAAGAGAGACCACATTCACAATCTAGCTTGTACACACCTGCATCTTGTAGAGGAATATTACATTTGATGGATGGTAAAAATTGACTAATCTTCTTCAGCGGCTTGTAGTATGTCTTAATGGACGCTCGCTTCAAGATGTAGCCAATCTTGTCCGTGACTCCTCCAACATATGGTAGTAGAGCAGGTGCGCGCTCGACTGTTGCCGGCTTCACTCGTTCACTGTGACGTAGGCGCGGGACCCGAAGCTTGTTGTCTTGCAATACTTGCTTGACGTGCTGAAGCTCCGCGGCCAGATGTTTTCTGTCACAGATCCCTCGTGCTCTCTGAAACAAAGATTTACCCACGGTAGCTAACTGTGAAGGATGATGGTGAGATTCACCATTTAGATATCGGTTGGTATGGGTCTTTTCCTATACACAGTGTGACCAATAGTGTTATCAGGATTTCGGATGACTACATCTAGGAAAGCTAAAGAATTATTTGCCTCTAACTCCATTGTGAATTGTATTTTAGAGTTTATGGAGTTAAGGTGGTCTAATATTTACTATAAACTATAACTAATACTTATAAACTCCATAAACTCTAAAATACAATTCACAATGGAGTTAGAGGCAAATAATTCTTTAGCTTTCCTAGATGTTTTAGTCATCCGAAATCCTGATAACACTATTGGTCACACCGTGTATAGGAAAAAGACCCATACCAACCGATATCTAAATGGTGAATCTCACCATCATCCTTCACAGTTAGCTACCGTGGGTAAATCTTTGTTTCAGAGAGCACGAGGGATCTGTGACAGAAAACATCTGGCCGCGGAGCTTCAGCACGTCAAGCAAGTATTGCAAGACAACAAGCTTCGGGTCCCGCGCCTACGTCACAGTGAACGAGTGAAGCCGGCAACAGTCGAGTGCGCACCTGCTCTACTACCATATGTTGGAGGAGTCACGGACAAGATTGGCTACATCTTGAAGCGAGCGTCCATTAAGACATACTACAAGCCGCTGAAGAAGATTAGTCAATTTTTACCATCCATCAAATGTAATATTCCTCTACAAGATGCAGGTGTGTACAAGCTAGATTGTGAATGTGGTCTCTCTTACATAGGTCAAACAAAGAGATCTATAAAAACCCGCGTGAAGGAACATATAGCTGATGTGAAGCACCGACGCTCCGGGAAGTCTGCAGTCTGCGAACATGTTCAAGATCGTCCCCACCATTACATTAGATTTGATAAACCACAAATTCTCGCAAAAGAACACCGATTCCTACCAAGGATGATACGCGAGGCTATTGAAATTAAAAAACATCCAAATTTCAATAGAGAAGATGGTTGGGTGCTACCATCTGCTTGGGATCCTATAATCAACAAAATTAAACCCAAACCCAAGCATACCATTGCAAGACTTCATGATACTATAAGCTCGTTTTGCGTAAATCGGACCAAAAATTAATATTAAAAAACTGAAGGTAGCCGGACTAACTATGACATTGGGACGTCCAAACATCTCAGTCCCCCCGTGACCATGGGCGCTGTAAAGCACCCGAAACGTCGGGATAATAATAAAAATAAATTAAAGTAATTAAACGCGATAAAATCCGTAAATAATAGTTTTATTCAATGTGTAGTGTTCGCGTAAATTTAAGAAATCATTATAGTAAATGTTTTTTACCAAAATTCAAAAGTTATAAATTTATCTTGGTGTCTATCTACACGAGGAAAATACCTATGTATTTTCCTCAAAAGCTATTTTATTATAAAATAGATTGGCTTAGTTATAATACGCAGTTACTCTATTACAAATGTGAGGTTCAAAATTTAGATTTTAACTAAAAGGTTATAATTGGGGGTAAAACAAGAATCTAAATAATACTGCTTTAGGTAAAAGAGTTCTTAAAAGCACCATTTCTCATAGATTTCTTCATAAGAGATTTTTTGCACTTCAAAGTAGAAAGTTGTATAAAGTAGGGAATACAAACCGGGTTACCCGAAAACCAACGGTTTTTCGGCATATTTGGATTATTTAATAAAACCCGGTTATTTTTTGCATGTTTCCGGTTTTCCTTATTATTTTCAAATAGCTACACTATGTGTCTGTAAAAACGATATATTTATTGTGATTCCCAGAATCACAATAGAGATAATCTACAAAAAATATCAAGTACTTACGTATAACAATGTACGATGCTGTGGAAGAATATGATAATCTATCTGAATCTGATAGTGACGATGGAGAAGACGGTGTATTAGTTGTGACAGCAAATAGACAACGATCTAGTTAGGGAATGTAAAACCTGCCCGGTTTTTGGTGAAACCGGTTATTCTTTGTACAAATTATATTATTAAGCTGCATGTGAAATTCAGGCTTATCTTTTCAATCATTAAATAGATACGTACCAAGGAAATACATATTCAAAATTTCAATGAAAGTTCAGAAATTTATTAAAGAAATAGTTTAATGAAAGGTTTATATAATTAATATTATTATTAGTTTTACTCTCATTTAAAAACGACACAACAACGGGTAGAATTAAATCTTTGTAAATATATTGACAAGACGAATAAACATCTACGTCTGTTGTTTTCATCATAAACTTAAATAAAACAAAATAAAAGGCTGTAATTAGATTACTATGAAAAGTTGTAAATCGCTCTTATTTTGTTCCTTTTAATTTTAGTACTTTGAAAATTGAAAAACAATTACAGACATCGATTTGTCTTCTCAATATATCTGCAAAGTTTGAATCTGATCTAGTAGCAGCAAGGCCCATGTTTTAGTAAGAAAATAAGATCTTAAGAAAAGTAAAGTATCAAGATTGGAGATCATATTTTGCTGCAGAAATAACCAGCTGTCGAAAATGCACATTCTGATTTGACACTTTGGGTTTGATCATGATGAGAGCTTTGTATGCCTTTGTTAAAAAAAAACACCCGCGCCCACCGCCATTCTTGTGTAATGTCATTTCACATAACACCATTTTTTCGGTTTCTAAATTTAGCGCAGATAAAGACGCATCAATGCATGCAAAAACTTCTCGTGTTTCTAATCAATACTACAAAGACTTGATTCAAAAAGTTAGACAGGTTGCGAAAACTTTTAGAAAATCTGCCACTAAAAATGATGACATGCTACAAAATTTCTGTAAAAGAGAAGTTTGGCCATGAACTATGTGTGATTTTGGACTGCAAAATGAGACAGAGTTCGTTAGGCGATATGGTTGACAGATTTTTAGTATTCTATAAGTTACAGAAAACGTTGCTGGGCTTAAAATCGGATATTCTTTCACAGTACGTACAATAGTAAAAGGAGTTGTTGAAGTCTTGTGCTTAGAAGAATCTAACTTGATTTTATATCTGTCACTTAAAATGGTTGGATCTTAATTTGGGCCGGTTTTGCATTCCCTAGTATAAAGTTCTAACTTGATTTTATATCTGTCACTTAAAATGGTTGGATCTTTATTAACATAGACGTACAAAAGAGATTCGGAACACTGTTTTCTGTTTTATAGCATAAAGTTGTAACCGGAAAATATCTTTTATTTAAATAATTTAGAGGTCTCTTGAATTCATTTAGTATATGGGAATAAGAAAACCTATGATTGGAATTTTACTACGTAATAAAGTATTAAAATAAAATGCTTTTTGGTAGCCAAGAAATTTAAAGTTTTTTTTAAATATTCTTTAAGCAGGAGCAAAAAGTGCTACAGTAAAAGGCCTAGAAATATAGCTTTAATAAATAAGGTAGTATTGGTATGAAATTCATTTACTCAGAACAGAGCACAAGTAGGAATTTTAAATTTTATTTTGATAGCACTTGGTATTTCTTTAGTAATCTGCCGCACGAATTTATGGTCACCGAGTGGGCGGGTAGATGGTGGGGAGGGGTAGGAACCTCCCCCTAAAAGAATTAAGTGCCGGAATCCCCCCTTTTTTATGAAAATTTTTAGTAATCTACCGCATGAATATATGGTCGCCGAGTGGGGGGGGGCTGGGGTAGGAACCTCCCCCTAAAAGGGGGAAGTGCCGGAAACCCCCCTTTTTTTGTAAAATCATAACCTCACTTTTTTATACAGGAATATTGACACAGTTACTTCTGCAACAGCTTCGGCACTGCGGGAAGTGCAGCCCCTTCGCCCTTGTGTAGCAAATCACAGGCACCCATATGCTCGCCTCCGCAGCTTCGGCTCCCTTAGGTGCCTGCGATTTGCTACAGCTAGCAGGCGCTGCTCTCCCTCTGTGCCTACGGCTTTACAAAAACACTCTAGGGGTAGGGCAGACAAGACTACGTGAAGTCGGGGTGTGCTAATTCGGTTTTAGAACCGATTCGACCAATTTTATCTATAAAGTCTAGTTGCTCTAACTCTGCAACTAGAGTGGTAAATAAAATAATGTAATGTGAATTGTTATAATTTTGTCTTCTGAAAAACTCTTGACTGCTCTCCACTGCAACTCAATTTGTTGTACATAAGTCCCATCTCCACAAATGGATTGTTTGGGTCCGAGTGATTAACTTTTTTATGAGTGTATCTGTGTTAAAAAACAAATTAACATATTTGCGTTTCGTTATATGTAACTTAAAGTGAAATTTATTTTTATCGTAATTAATTCAAAAGGCATTTCTGAAATCCAAAAACAGTGTAAATGGTTCGAGCTTAACCCTGACAATTTCTTCTCCTAAATTGAAAACATAATTAAAAAATCAAGTATCGGAAACCTACTTCATAATACGAGAACAAATTGACATATTACACTATTTTAGGTGAAATTTGTTTTTATCGTAATTAGTTCAAAATGCATTTTCGACCTCTAATAACAGTGTAATAGGTTTATGATTAACCCTAACAAGCCTCCTAGACTAAAAACATTATCAAAATCAAGTACCGGATGTCTAGCCAACCCTATATAACCTCAAAACTTTAACTATCGATATCTCGAAAAATAAAGATTTCCGGCATAAAAAGCAGATAAATGCAATAGCATCATTGCCTGTCAACTAAAGCTAAAATAATCACTTAAATCGTGCAGCAGATTACTAAAGCCAAGTTTATTTTTGAGTTATAAGACAGACGCTGCTGCTTATCTCCTGGTTTGTTTCCATGTCGCCTCTTACATCCACGAAACGATAATGGGTAGTCGATATTCTTACGCTGTCATTACACAGCGAGGTGTTAAATCATGTCTAAATGCAATTTATGTGTAGAATATTAATAATTATTTAAGATACATGTGGCGCAACCGCCACATTCCTACCTGAACTCGGCTGATTCCAATCTTGTCCTGAACTTTGTCCAGAATAACTATTCCCACTACCATAACCTCCTTGCCCTTGTTGACCACCGCTGTAATTGTTTTCCCCTGAAGATGCGGTAGGTGGTGGCACAGAATAATGAGAGGAATATCCCCCACTATTATAATCACTTGATGCATAAGCTACAAAACAATGTAAATGTTTAATGAAGAAACAGAAAACTAATATCAAATAGAAAGCACATAGTGAGTTGGAACTTACGGTCACCCATTTTGTAGTTTAAATAATTATAAAGTAAAATAAAAAATCATGTGAGCAGACACCTATTAATGTTTAAAAAGGGAACATGTATCAAACACAAAGTTATATTTACTCCGTAATTGTAACGTTTTATCACAAAGCTAAGCCGACAGAGTCGAGATCGATTGAGAAAATGGCGGCAACGTACGCTAGAATCCAGAATAGAACATCACAAATTATTATACTCTATGGATGAACTAAAGCGCCACAGGAAAAGAGGTTTTGGCGGGAACTTGGCCATCGATGGATTGTCGCTCCAGTTTTGTCGCTTAAATAATGATTTGAAGTGGGTTTTGATTCCAAAAAGTGATGCGATTTTGTGAATTAAGTGTCTGCGCGTCTGAACTATTAGAGAAAACAACAAAGCAAGTGCTTTGATGTTGATATAAATTTCAAGTTATTTTGATAGCTTGGGCGCCTTATGAATTTGAGTGGCTGTCGTCATCAACTGTCCTCTGGGTTGAGCTGTCGTCAAAATCTCCAAAAACTTCGCAATGTTACGCATCAGCATATTGTGAAGAATAAATATATAAAAACGAAGATTACGAAAGAAATGAGTGGCTCAGAAACCTAGAACCCAGAGCCGTAAAGTAAGTTAAATAAAAAAGCTACAGGAACAGGAAATCGTTATGGAGTGTAGTGGTAAGGAGTACAGACTCTCTGTCTACGCTCTGTATAAAGTGTCTGTAGAAAAACGCTAAATAAGGGTGACGCCACTGTAGCTACAGTCTAAATTTTAAAGAACTTTTGATAATTTTTTTATTGCACAGACTTTCACCATATTTCTCTTTACAATAATTATTTTATTTCTTTCAAAATTTTTATTTTCAAAATCACTCTTAACGTATTTTACGGTGATTTATCATACCCTGTATCATACTCGGGCGCTGTTGTGGAGAGTTTTTGAACTGTTATTTACTGCTTACAGATGGACAACTTTTCAACTATTCTCCTATGGCAGATTATCCTCCTTATCTAAGACAGAGACACCAACCGTAGACAGAGAAACCAATAGACTAATGATTAGAGTGACCTCGAGTGAGAAAGGACGATAACGTAGTTTTAGGTTATACAATAATCTTTAAGACTTTTAAACACATTTAGATAAAAAATTTGATTGTTCTAAGAACTGAACTAAACAAGATTCACCAATCTTAAGCTCACAAAACACTTTTTTCTCACTTAAACCAACTTGTAAACTCCTTAGTTTACTACGAACTGTCAAAGTTGTTTAGCAAAGTGTAGTTTGCTAAACAAAAAAATCGGCACGGAGAAAGGGACAAACAATCACACCGCTCTGTCTCATTTCTATGCAAGACGTATGCATAAATCTGTCTTTATCGTGTGCGAATGAAAAAGAAAGCGTCAATTTGTCTATAGGTTTCTCTGTCTACGTTTCATGCAGAGAATGATTTCAAATTGGGATTTCAATTGGGATGCCAAAAAAAATGCATCCTATCACAATCGGCTGACCTATAATGTCAAACACGACGGCAACCTGCAGAAAGCAACCGCGATTAAAGCGTGAGGACACACTCCGGACAACTTCTGGTACTATTCTACCGATCAGTTGTTTCGACACTTGAAAAGTGTACGACAGGGAAGCATAAGAATCTCCAGTGACAAGTATCTTAATGCAATGGCGTATCTGATATGAGGGCCAACAGCGTTTCGTAGTATTTTATCCTATTTGGCTATGGAACGTCCGATCATTTGTGATGAACTTTAAAAATCAGATGTTGACATTCGAGTAAAATTCACAAAAAATTCGTCAGACAGGAAATCACCTAAAATATTAATTTTTCTTTCTTCTCGTCGTAGTAAGAAATTCCGCATCCACCGCCTTCTCTTTCAATTGCGTTTCACTCCCGAAGTAAGTACTATGTACGCATAATCACTACAACCTCCTCGGGTAACATTTCTATAAACACTGACTTGTGTGTCCTGCAAAATGTTCGTGACATATTCTGGGAATTCACGTGAGCGTATATATTAAGGTTTATATTAGTTAGATCGACATGTTTCGCAACATGTCGCATTTTTGTCCCCAGTATATTCAAGGCTTTAGATTATTATTTCGAATGTTTTTTTCTTATCTTCTCATTTTCCTTCAAACTCAAGGGTCATAGTCAAGTGTAAAAAGGTCACCTGATGATAACTTTGTGTTTGCAAGACGTAAATTTGCTAAATCTGTAGTATGACCAATTTATTATATCAAGGGAATAAGTATATCTTGGGACTGCAAAATTATTAATGTCTTTAATGAGTTTGCGTGAGTTCAGGTGAGAAATAGGTCCTCCCTAAACGGGTTGCCGCCCTGTCATGGCGGAGGGGGCGGGGTTGTAGCCGAGGCTTGGTAACCCATGTTAAAAGTAGGGGACTCACATGGTTGACCCGAGGTGGTCGCTCTGAGTGGGTATGTCGAGCCCTTGGTTGTGTGTTAGTGGGCTGCGGCTAGAGTGGATTCTTATACCTGTGCCGCTGAAGTCGAGTTAGAATCGCAAGCGACTCGACTATCTTCAGACGTGGTACTGCATTGCGAAACGGAGGAGGTACTCAAGTCGATGCGTATATTTTACGTTTCATGTTTTCCCGCATATTTCCCTCAATTTCTCAAATTGCCCTTCTTTTTCTCACGTGACGCACCTGGTGATGTTAAAATTTGGCCGTTATTTATTAATCGTTTTCGGAATACTATACATAATAATCCTTCCTTATCTGATGCTGAAAAATTATATTATTTAATTGGAAAACTAAGTGGCAAGGCGTAATCGTAGAAGGTGAGAGATAACTATTTTTGATTTTTGAATTTAAATAAATGAGGGTTTGTTTAGACCAAATATTCGACCTTAAAGCTATGTCGTCGACAAATATTTATAATCTCGAACAAATTTTTGGATAGATTCGCAACGGCGGTAGCCGCTCTCAAAATTCTTAAATTTAATGATCTTGTGGACTTTATATTTTTACATACTGCATTAAAAAGTAGACCCGGACAACGTACGTTCGTTCGAAATGGAAAATCGTGGCTGTGACATACCATCGTTAGACACTTTATTGCTTTTCGTTCAAAACCAAATTAAAATAAAACAACGTTTGTCTAATACAAAACAAGAAGCAAAAAAAATACACCGACCGTCGAATGAATGCACCGTCGAAGCCAACTAAACCGCTAGCATATGTAAGCACCTCATCTTCATTTTCACACAGCGCCTGTTTCTTATGTAAAACTAATCAACATGGTAATAGCTAACAAATTATGCTTAAATTTCTTGAGTAACAAGCATCGTGTTTCCAATTGTAACTCTAGTTCAGTGTGTAATAAATGCTGCAGTAGACATCACTCGATGCTGCATTTTAAAAATAGTGCCACATCCACGTTGAGCAAACCTGTGAGTGACGCTTCACCTAACGAAGCTAACGCAAACGTTTTACCTTCAATAAAGTCGAATCGCGTCGACACCTCTCAATTGGCAACACCGCGTGCGTGCTCAGACGACGTTGCTTTGTGCTCGCTGTCGAGCGTTAAAGAATTAGCTCGGTTCCCACCAGTTCTTCCTGGAACCGCGCGTGTAATAATTAGGGATTCGCGTGGAAACGAACTTAGCATTGGTACATTATTAGATAGTGCGTTGCAAAGTAATTTTATAACTTAGCAATGTTGTCAATGTTTAGGATTATTTGCAAATAGAACGCCTTCATGACGCGTAGTGAAGGGTGGTGGAGCGAATGACCAGATCCGAGAGCAAAGAATAGAAATGGTGGCGCGCTAATAATTTGAAATGTTTTCGGCGATAGAGGTTCTTGTGTTCGATTCCTGGGTCAGGCCTTGACCTTGTTATGCGAGATGTTACTATGTGGACTGTATGTGCGATTTCTTGAAACCCCAAAACAAGATGGCCGACGTGGCACGCGACAGCCTTGGACGATGCTCTCGCTATTCCAAAAATCTACTACTTTACCAGTGTCTTCAAGGAGTTTTATTTGAGCCGGTAGGGGAGAAAAATGTGACGGGGAAATAAAAACAGCTCAAGTCCAAGTAAAAGAAAGAAAGCACTTACCGGGGTGGAGTTCCTTTGGTGCTTCGTGGACGACGCTTTTGATCTTGTGGTGCGTTGGAAGAGCAGTGGACGACAACTCGCACTATGCGAAGTGATTACTACCAGCGATTCTTCTGTGGCGCGACTACCACAGAGGTGCAATCACAACTAGCGAAGTCTTCAAACTACTATGCAAGAAGGGCTGAGCGGCGGCAGTGCGTGTTCCTATATGGACAGGCCACTCACGTCCATCTCGGCGGGGCGCGCTTCTTATTGGCCGAAAAGGTGGCACCACATTCTAGACCCCCCTCACCCTTCAGTACGTGCGGAAGGAATGCATGGATATAGGACGGAAAGACATTAGCAAACAATAACCAACTGACCAAAATGTGAGAGTCCCCGTTTCCCTTTTTCCCCCCGGCCTTCTGCCTAGAGGCCGGTGACCTCGACGCCTCTCGGAGTATACGGACTCAACACTATCTGCGGAGTATGTCGTACCGGCGGTTGTATGTGACCACTTATAGACACAAACGACGCACACCTAGTAGATCCTTAAAAACATACTTGTGTAGACAATCAATTGTACCCAGTATCCATGACCAATTACTGTGAGTTGTGTTATCAATGTGTAGACAATCAATTGTACCCTGACGAAACAAGCAGTTCGTTATTACAAAAATGATATTGACATTAAAAAACGTACCTAATTGGGTACTCACTTACACAATTATAAACAAAATTTTTTTTTTTTTTTTTTATTTAATCAATATTTTTTAATATAATATTTTTTTTTTTTTTTTTTTTTTTTTCCTTTTTTTTTTTATAAATAATTTAAATTTTTATTTTTATTTTCTGTCTTTTTTTTTTTTTATTTGCAAATTTTGTGCGTGGGGGGAGTGTTGGGGAGTTTTTCATTTTTAAATTTTTTTTT